CGCTTATGCATATCTTCGGAAAAAAAACTCTCTGTGAGCGTAGAGTTCTGTTCTCCAATTTCGACGCGCGCGCGCGAGGATACTGGATCCTCCATTACGTGAGATCTGCGCAATTATGTAATTTTCCAAGTATCGTTTCCTCTTTCTTGTTCCTGCGCGGAATTGCTCTTTTTAAATCCCGGCCATAGGCGAGGGGGTTACATCGAGCGTGCTGCACGTACCGGTTTGTTACACGCATTAAACGTTTTGCTCCGTCCTTACGCGGGGATCTCATTGTACAATCAAATTACTGTCTTACTCTCGTACTTTTTACGTAACCGGAATGCGAACGGCCCGCCCGCCTGCGTGCGTGCGTGCTCGCGTGCGTGTGCTGAAATAAATCTGGTTCGCCAACGTGATCGCCGCTCGTTACGGCCACTTTTTCACGCGATTTCGCGCGGAGATGAGGAACAACGAAAGCCGCTCGCGGAGGGGCGAGTACTTTACGGCTGTGCGTTTAGTGTGTCTGAATAATTACATTTTCATTGAACACAATAATTCCTCATTAGCATTCGCGATGAATATTATTAGGGATGCTTTATTGGACACAATTCGCGTCACGGATGATGCAATATTCATAACGCACACATTTATCATATGATATGTATGTATAATAAACCCGCGCGCGCGATGAATTGCGATACATTTTAACCCCCCGGAGAGCGCGCGTATAGTTATGGTAATTGTTTTTCTTTTTCGTTTAAAACAATATCTCACGCGTACGCTGATACGTGTGTAACAATGGGATATTACACGAGCGGAATCGGTGTCGCTCGATTAAAAATTCAACTCTGCTTCTCTCTAATTTCTTGACGCGGAATCTCGCTCGAAATAAGTGGAAAGTGGGGCGGTGCTTTTGCTCGGAGCGACGATGAAAAATATTGCTCCTCGAAGTCGCAAGAGTGAATATTTCGCTCGAACTTAGAGTGGATTCTGATTCCATGTGAACGAGTGTTTCAGTCGATCGGAGTGAATAAGTTTCCGCGACGACGGAGTAAATCAAATTCACTCTTCAATGTCGAGTGAAAATATTCACTCGGCGCGATGCAGAGTGGAGACTTTACACTATATTATGAGCGAAGAGTCTAGAAATGAGTAAAACTAAAGGCACCGAATTAATTTTAAAGGCACTCGAGAATTCGAGTGTCTCGGTGGTCGCTTCGCTTTTCAAGTGAGATTCCGCTTCGAGAAAAATTTAGCACTTTTAATAGGTACTTTTAAATACATTTTTTATAATAACCAAACACACACATATAATGTAATACGTGAAACCAGTGCTTTTACTCGAAGCGACGTTGAGCATTCGCCGTTCAATTGCAGAGCGACGCTTTTTCATTGGTAATCTCTCACACGTTCGTAATTTTTCTCGCTTTCTCTCTCTTTCTCTCTATCTCTCTCCCTTCCTTCCTACTTCTCTCCTTTAAATTATTAAGAACAAAGGCGCGACTCTGCTTTTTCCGGGAGTCAGCGTTTCCATCGGCCCGATCGTCCTACTTTGCGCGGGTGTAAGTAGGAGCCCGACTTTTCTCTCTTCTCCCTCCCCCCTCCCCTCCCCCTCCCCCTCCTTACCCCGCGTTTCTCGCGCGCTCCGCTTTCGCGCCGTCCGCCTTTTTCCTTATCCCGCTCTCGGAACAAGGGACGCTTAAAGCACTTCCATAGAGAGACGACTAATTAGAGCGATTTAGCGTCCGTCGACGGCGTTTATTTGGAATGCAAATGTCGTCGTGAGACCGACCGTCGTCCTCTTTCCCCTCCGCTACCCGTTCTTCCCACATCCTTTCCCGCCATCCCCCGTGTCGTATATATCGCCGACTGATAAATGTCCGGAGGATTTTATCACGACGCCAGTTACCGCGCCCTGTCCAGGGATGAAAATTGAAATGGCCGAGAGAGCATGCCATTTGTATTTAGCGACTCTCTCTCTCTCTCTCTCTCTCTCTCTCTCTNTCTCCCTCCCTCCCTCAGTCTCTTATAAGAAGGAGAAAAGATGAAAAAAATGATAAAACGACGTGACATAAGAATTATTCGGTCTCGTATACGTATAAGAAAATTTCTGTTCAATAATTTTGGTATACTATAACACAATTTACTAGACTTTTGTATTGCGCGATTAGGCAATGTTGCTGCAATATTGCAAAATATTGCAATCGTGTTAACGTTAGCTTTTGTGCTGTATGAGTAGGATTGACACTTGTATCGAAACCAAAATTTATATATGACAGCAACAAACGAATAGTTTGATCAGATATATTCGTTGACCTGATTATATATGTAAATTTACCATACGTAGAAGAAAATATTGGAAAAGTAAAAAATATCCCATATGATATACGCATTGTCGACGCTGCAGCTTGGATTGCGCGTTATTTCTAATTCCAGTATGGAAAAAATCTTATCTCGGGCAGTAAATATTGTGTAATATATAGTGATATTGTTATATATAGTTATTGCTAAATTGTTTAGGATTAACGTTACCGTGTAAACAAAGTTTGTGAGAACAGTTGAAAGATATTCGTTGTGTTTGTGACATAGGCCGTGATTCCTGGATAATGATGTGCTGTTATCATTTGAATTATTTCATAAGTCTTCCATATTTCCATGAAATGATATCAACATTACAAGTATATTCTAATCGAGCCGGAGTGCACGGGTAAAAAATTGTTCGTTAAAAATGGCTCACCGGAATTTGGCGTTACTTTAACATGAGAAATGTGTTAGAAAGTACACGAATATGATGTTATTTAAACATTAACTTTGTCAACATGAATTTTCATTTATATACACGGAGAAAAAAGTCTAGTCGCGTTAACCAGAAAACGAACAACCAGACGCGTAATGGCTGGAGGGAACAGAATTCCCAGCTCTTACGGTCCAAATGGTTCTTATAACCAGAAATTCGCCTTTCCCCCAATCAAAACGCGTCTAATTGTTTACCTTCCGGTTGATGCAACCAGATTTTTTCCCGACATACTTTTTTTCAGCTCGTGAATGTTCGTACCTTCGCGAAGAGTGCGAAAATTCTCTGCGTGTAACTTTGGCGACTGGCAGAATGCCCTTTCCTTCGTCTGCTGTACGAATTTCGTCTTTCCGGGACGTTTTTTCCGGACGGGAAGATATAACCGGAGCAACGACTCGATTGTGACTATCCGATCGATCGTACGTAGGGGCTTTCCCGCGGTGATCGGAAGCGGGAAGAGTCTAAACAGCGGCTCATTCGTGCGCACAACCGCGTAAAAATTCCTCGCGTACGGTTGTTGCGTCCTTTCGCGACTCGCCGGCCGTTCGCGAACAGCGTCGCTCACGCGGAACTTTTTCCGCCGCGCGCGTAGCGCCGCCACTTTTGGCCGTAATTACTGTAACGAAAAAAAAAAAAAAAACAGGCCGGACGTTTCGCGCACCTGCACGCCGTAAAGCGCGTACACACTGCATCGGACAGTATTGCCCCGAATGGATAATCCGAATTTACGTCGCGTAAAAATGAATGTTTTAATTGACGCGTTAGCGCGCGTTCGCCGCGTTTTATCGCGCTGAATGCGATCCCTTCAGTCAAACGGATCTCGCTCGTCATACCGGCTGGTGCTACGCCGCGGGAGGATGTTGATGAAAAATTTCGACGGGCGCGAGGAACGCTTGTTAACGATTAAAAACGCTGTACGCACACGCTACGGAAACGGGGGGGAGGGAGGAAAGGACTGAATCGGGCAAAAGGTTAAACTGTCTGGTGGTAAATATATGTTCTGCGCTCTTCAACTATTCGTATTAATTGGCCAAATATACTTAGTTATGGGCGCGCGCAAACTCCCGCGCTTTTCTTTTCCGCCGCGCAACTTCGCCGGCGAGCAGCCCGCGGGTTCGTTAACCTCCGACGGATTAATATCGTTTGCCGTGTAATCCTTCCACGGGAGACGAATTTTTCATCCCGTCAAACGCGTACTCTCCCCCCACCTTCTCTCTCTCTCTCTCTCTCTCTCTCTTTCTCTCTCTCTCTTTCTCTCCCTCTTTCACACACATACACACATACATTTTATCTCTCTCTCTCTCTCTCTCTCTCTCTCTCTACCTTTCGTCTCTCTTTCTTTCCGCGCTCCATAAAGGTCAGACCTTTGCGAATGTCACCCCTTATGTTTCCGCCGCGTTTCCGAGCGGTTTCTACATAATGATACACATATACATATATACAGAAAATGTAAGGTCTTCTTTTTTAATAAGCGACGATCTCTCTCCCGACTAACGATTTTTGAGAAATGAGGATTCCCAGAGACCGTGGGCTCCTTCCTTCGAAAATCCGGTGAGAGAAAAATGTATATTCGTAACTCTGTAATTGTATAACTAAGAAATTATAATTGAGAAAATTGTACGCATAGCAAATGTTACTATAATGATGGTTATAATTATGATATAAATATCGTGTGACAAATCCCAACTTTTTACTGTAAATTATAGTGGTTTTAATTATAATTATAAAACAATATATATTATAATAAGCAAATATATAATAATATAACACAAAATTAGCCATTTTATATAATTAATATAATCGTAATAAATAACAAATAATGCTACGTGTCAGCATTCTTAACACGTGCTTTGCTCTACACACATGAATGAAACAATGAAGAAGACAACTATTTCAATAAAAACGTACATGACTATATGAGTGTTTACATTCCATTATATTTGTAACTGGTAAATAGTTATAAAATGTTATAGTCGCTATATATAATTATAAATCCAAATTCGCTTTTCCCATATTTTGCATGTTTAGAAGAACTATAAACATATAATTGTCCAAAATAATAAAATACAGTGAGATTATAGTTATTCAAACTACTTTTTTCTCTTAGCGTACGGAGGTGTTCGCGACTAATAACGGTCGACGGTTAAAACTAACGTTTGAAAGCAACGTCGGCCGGCATCGCCGGGGATTAATCGGTCGTTTCCCCTTCTGTTTCTGATTACAGAAAATATGTGTCTTCCAAAAGTCCCTCGAGGATCTCTCCTCGCGGATGGCCGGCGCCGAGGCGATCCAGAGCGGCTGGCAGAATCCAAACGACGCGAACGAGGCGACGGAATTGCTCGAACAGTTGCAGAAATTCGGCGAGCGGCTGGTGCCTATCCAGAGGAACATCGAGGACGCGAACGACCAGGCGAGCGTCTTCGCGTCGAGCAGCGTCATCGTTTCTCACGCTTTACTGGCGAAACTCGAAGATCTGAACACCAGGTATGGCTCGACGGCCACGTAAAAATTTATCACGCGGTATTCTCGGTTCGACCCGTCGCCTCCGAATGAGATACTCGTTCACCCTCCCCCGGCTTCACGCAGCCGGCCGTATACAAGGGGTTTGTCTCGGGAGCGCGGTGTACTTAATTTTAATGACGGAACCTCTCTCCCGGGGGGTAATCCCGGATCTCTCCGAGACGATACCGATGCCCTGCCCCGGGAAAGTGGAGGAACGATGGGAGCACGATCGCGAAAATATCCGCGCGAGATATCCTCTTTACGAGGATCTAAGGTTCCCGCGCAGAGCGCATTTCTCCTTGCGGAGAGCCACTTTGTCTCGTCGGCGAGGTATCGTCGGCGACGTGCTCGAAATTGACGCACCGGCAGGTCGTCGGCAGGCTTATTCTTACAGCGCGTTTCTCGATGCGGCCGGAGGGAAGCTTTAAATTCGCGACGTCTAACTTTTTTCACGTGTTTTCACAGGTGGAAGGTGCTGCAAGTCGCAGTTGACGAGCGTTACAAGTTGCTAAGCGGATTCGGGAAGGATGGCAGCACTCCGGGTAGTCAGGCTTTCCTCGCGAGCAGCGTAGAACCACCATGGGAGAGAGCCCTCACACCCGCCAAAGTGCCTTACTATATCAAGTAATCGATCCTCCTTTTCACCTCGTACCTCGGTCGCCTCAAATTTCCCGAACCGCCCCGCGGCTTCACGGTTACTTCCGAGGAGAGGCCGGGAAGCTCTTTCATCGACACCGCTGAGTCCTCCGGTCTTTCCGAAAGGAACACACCAATTCAGTCGGGATTATTCACTCGCCCGGGGAAAAAAAGACCGATCGAATCAACGGACCGCGTTTTCGTCGGAGGAAAGAGGATTTCCGGAATTTTTACGAACTAAATTTCGTTCTCAGAACCGGAAGTATTGTTTCCTTGAACGAAGATGCGTTTGGTTCGTTGCTGCGTCAATTCGACCGATCTTTCCGTGCGGATTTATATTAAATACCGAGAACAAAGTATTCGGCTACTTGCAAAATCGCATAGTGGGGGAATTATTGTCGGAATTATTTTTAAAATAAGTATTATTATAGTGATAAAATTGGTGATCAAAATATATCATATGCATATTACTTTTTCGTTAAGGGGGGGGTTGAAAGGATCAGTATCGTATTTTCAGTGGCGCATCAAGAAGGCCGCTCATAAATTTAACGTTTGTCAAGCAAAATTACAGCTCCTGTACATTTATTTCACTAACTAAATAATAAATGTTAACTTGAAGCGAGTCGAGGTAAACGTATATACATAATATTGCAAATACGAAAATATTTTTTTATTTTTTTTATTAATGCTTCATTTATACATCAGTTATGATCTAATAGGAATGTACAGATAATAGAAAAAGGCATATAAATATTTAAATGTGTTTATATGTATGTATTTCGAGTATTACTATAAATTATGAACTTTACGCTGCTGTACTTTCAAAACAAAGTAGTCAATAATTCGGAAACTCGCGTATAATGTCTGTATATTAGTTTTAACATCCATAATTATACATCATAATTTTATCTTTAGTTTAGAGGATATTAAAAATAGGAATATAAATAACACGCTAATCTCAAGGAATACGTATACAAAATGTCAACTTTAGTATCTCAGCTGTCGAATGATCAACCTTTTTCTAATTACACGAGCAGTTAGATAATATTTTGATGTACACGTAATGCAGGCTTCATCAAATTCTTATCAGTCTCACTTTACCTCACAATCTCCCAAAAACATCGAGAAGATATAATTGACGAAGATTGCTATAACTTTAATAGCATTAACTAAGTTTTCCTCTCAGCGTGTTTATTCGTAATTTCACTTATTTATATCATATCGAGAAACTCGGCCGTATTAATCGATAACGGCGGTTTTAGTCGCCTAAAATATCTGAGAAGTAGAAAGTAGAAAAGTATCGACGTTCGTACAATTCCGTTACTTCGCTTCGTAATTCATTATTGTCGCGCAGTAATCGCACGGCCGTTGACTTGAGGTAAAATCGCTTTCTTGCAGCCATCATTTGGAGACTACGCATTGGGATCATCCGAAGATGATAGAGCTGATGTCTTCTCTCGCGGACCTAAACGAGGTTCGCTTTTCCGCGTACCGAACCGCTATGAAGCTGCGCACCGTGCAGAAGCGACTGTGCCGTGAGTATCGGCGCGCGTCCTTGGTGATCAATCATACCTTTATCGCTGATTAGTCGGCATCGGGCGTTCATTAACTGTCGCAATTTTCTCGATTAATCACGCGCACTCGCGATATGTATACTGCGTACACAATACATTAATGCGCCCGTCACGAAATTACAGTTCCGCGCGCATAATCGCGACCACCATATATTTATGTTTCTCCCTCGTCGTTTTAGTGGACATGTTGAGCCTGGCTACCGCGTTGGCACAGTTTGATTCACACGGGCTCCGAGCACAGAACGACAAACTGATCGACATCCCCGACATGGTAACAGTACTGACATCGCTGTACGAAGGAATCGCAGCGGACAACCCGGCACAGGTGTCCGTGCCGCTGTGCATTGACCTGGCCATCAATTGGCTCCTCAATGTGTACGACAGGTACGCTGAACTGTCCTCCTACGAGAAGCAAACTGTCTATATATCCTGTTTGCTCGAACCCGGTTCCACAGCACGCTTACTCGTTCCTCCTTCGTCAAGTCCGTCGAGTCAGTCGAAAAGTTCGGCTCGATTTCTTTATCAAATTCGATTCGATCACGCATTTAATGAAATTCCAATGCATTATTTCATGGAAACTCATGACTCGCGAAGAAAACGTGAAAAGGGAATAGGGCAATTAGTGAAATAGATAAGGTATTTAATTAGGGAAGGGAAGATAAACAGATAAATAATTATGTTGAGAATTCATAGTTAATGGCTTTTCGGTCGCTGGATTTTGAGAATATAAAATACAGAATTCAGAATTTAGTGATTAGTATTTCGTTTAGTTTTTACTTTTTTTTTCTTAGTTTTCAGTAGTGATTTTTATTTAGTTTTGCGAAGTTTAGGTGGTAGATCATAAAAGTGTGTAATATACCAAGTTATGTTGTTATCATAATTATAACATTCATAACATTAATTAATTAATTAATTGTATGTTAATTATGCTTTAACTATGATACATGATTGAGTTGATTCTGGAAGTAGGTTAGATTAAAAGTTCTATGTAAATTCAGCAAGTAGAATGGAGGTGGATGACTTAATGTGTTAAGAATAAATAAATAACCTGATTATTCGTCGGTCGACAATCTTTCGCCAACGTTCTGGCAGCATTCCTGCATCTCTAACGTGACGGGTATCCGTTAAAAATCGAACTGAATTTTTCGATCGACTCAATATATTAGATTTCTGTTTTAAAATCGTATTAACTCTCGATTGTGATGTTATCGTACCGCTCGCTGTTATCGAATAAGTCGACTGTATCTTTCGCTATAATCTGCAATGAAGATAACGATTGACAAGGATGGTCGTTACTCAACATTGCTTTAAGTTTACTTAAGGGTGCCTTTGCAACTTTCCACTTACAATTTTCAGCCAACGAACCGGCCAGATCCGAGTACTTTCATTCAAAGTCGGACTAGTCTTGCTGTGCAAGGGGCATTTGGAGGAGAAATATAGATGTGAGTAATGCACGAAGATATACCGGTGGCCAGTATTAGTCTGCGATATAGTTACAACACGCGCTCTCGCGTTATTTCCAGATCTGTTCCGTCTGATCGCGGACCCCAACAGGCTGGTGGATCAGCGCAAGCTGGGTCTGCTGCTGCACGATTGCATACAGGTGCCGAGGCAACTGGGCGAAGTCGCGGCATTCGGGGGATCGAACATCGAGCCCAGCGTGCGCAGCTGCTTCGAGAAAGCAGGCAAGGACAAGAACGAGATCGAGGCGGTGCACTTCTTGAGCTGGCTGCAGCAGGAGCCGCAGAGCATGGTGTGGCTGCCCGTGCTGCACAGACTGTCCGCAGCGGAAACCGCCAAGCACCAGGCCAAGTGCAATATATGCAAGGAATATCCCATCATTGGGTTCAGGTGGGCCGCGTAATTGCTGAAGTGAAATTCGTACGGTGCGAGCGACATCGTTGAGGCGTACTGACGGCGAAAATCACTTCGACAGGTACCGCTGCTTGAAATGCTTCAACTTTGACATGTGCCAGAATTGCTTCTTCTCGGGACGCAAGGCGAAGAATCATAAGCTGACTCATCCGATGCAGGAGTACTGCACGGCGGTAAGGCGGCTTTTTTATAGTTTACCGAGACTCCCGTTAAGGAGGTTCAAGCGCTATTCTCTGATCAACGAATGTTATATTAATAAAATTGCTAGGAAAGATGAAGAAATTTTGCAGTAATATTAGTGAAGTGGAATTCACAAATGCCGTAATATGTGGTAATTTCTTTTCTTAAAAGTGATAAAAATATTAAATATGATTAAAAGTGACAAAATAAAATTTGTAAGGCTGTCACTTGATATAAATACCAATAGTAAGCGAAGAAATGTGAACATGAAATGCGTTCGTTGTCGTACTTAATAAATGACCAGTTTAATTTAATCTGAATTGGAAATACATAAATGCTACGTTAAAATAAATAATATGTATAGAAATGAAATATTATACACACACACACACACACACACACACACACAGAGTCTGTTCAATAAGAAAGTGTGGGTGATAATCTGAAAAGAATAAAAGGTAAAGTCAAGTTGTCTTTTTTAAACGAAAATAGGAGATTTTTAGTAATGCGCAATTATCTAATATTTAATCGCCTCCATTATCAATTATTATTTGGCACCGTTTTTGCACACTTTCGACCAGGTTTTCGGTGTATTCTGCAGTTAAAGAACGCCATGTTACTGCCGATTGTTAATTTTGGTCCTTTAGAACGGTTATCAAGAAACACCGCCTCGTAACGCTTCAAATATTTTTCACTCATTTTTAAAATTAATGTTTACTTTTAACGACTACTCAACGCAACTTTTTGATGTACAGTGCGCAAAAAAGTTAGTTTAAAAATTCAAACGGTATAAGTTACATAGCGCTACTGTGATTTTCGATAAAAATATCACTCACACTTTCTTGTTGAATAGACTATATGTGTGTGTGTGTGTGTGCGTGTGTGTGAGATTATTTCAGATCTGGCGGTAACTTTTCATACATGAGACATGACATGTTTCTATTCACATGTTATCGATTTCACGAATATTCTCATCAAAAGTTCTCGAAATTTCTCTTCAGCGGCAAATTTATGCGACACTTCACTGAAATATGCTCAAATGTTCATTTTATAATTACAATTTTCGAAATTTTTATCTCGCGTACAAATGCGTCAGATTGGAAGAAATTTCTTGTTTCGTGAAATTTCTACACATGCCCTGCACTGTACAAATTCATAATTAAATATCTCGGGAACGATACAGTTTAAAGATAATGAAAATTTCTGTCACGCGTTGTTAATTCGATTGATCATCGTATTACGTATACAATATAGATTTACCTTATATCTAGTCGAACGATCGAACCTCCTTAAGTTGGTGACCTTATTCGAGAAAGCGCAAACGATCCGTATATATGTATGAAATAACGTTTGTCGCTCTACGCAGACCACGTCTGGCGAGGACGTGCGCGACTTCACACGGGCGTTGCGCAACAAATTCAAGTCCAAACGCTACTTCAAGAAACACCCTCGAGTTGGCTATCTGCCCGTGCAGACTGTCCTCGAGGGAGACGCGCTAGAGAGCCCGGCGCCTTCGCCCCAGCACAGCTCGCTCAGCCAGGACATGCACTCCCGGCTGGAGATGTACGCCTCTCGACTCGCCGAGGTCGAGCTGTCGCGCACACGGAGCAACTCCACGCCGGACAGCGACGACGAACATCAGCTGATAGCGCACTACTGTCAGAGCCTGAACGGCGGCGACAACGTCAACATGCCGAGAAGTCCGGTCCAGGTGATGGCCGCGATCGATGCCGAGCAGAGGGAAGAGCTCGAGGCGATGATACGAGAGCTCGAGGAGGAGAACGCGACGCTGCAGGCGGAATACGAGAGATTGCGCTCCAAGCAGACACCGGGATCCACGCCGGAGGACGGTCACAGCACCAGGCAGCCCGATTGTGATATGATCGCGGAAGCTAAGCTTCTGAGGCAGCACAAGGGAAGGCTGGAAGCGCGCATGCAGCTGCTCGAGGACCACAATCGCCAACTGGAGGCGCAGCTGCAGAGACTCAGACAACTTCTGGACGAGGTACGTTCGCCGGGGGTGTCTCGGTTTCTCTATTGATTCGGCAGCGATTGTAAAGTACCTTGAATGATTCGAAGAGGCCGGTAAGAACGCTGGTCGCAAAATTAGACGATTATTTGACTCACGAAGTCAATCTGATAATATCTGATAATATAATATAGCGGTTAACTGACGACTGATCAGTCATATCCGAGTATAGGAATGCATCCGATCGAAATTCAAAAGCTAGTTGCCAGCTAGTGTAGACAAAATTATATTTCCCGGCTCGTTACTAGTTCTTTATCAGCTGATTATTCACCAAAATGTAGGAATTGGTTTTCATGATCCAGCCGTTGTCCAACTATTGCATATCAAATATCATGGAGCGAGCGGCGTGATCTATTCTGAAATATATAGTTGCGATATAAACTGGCTATTAGCCTTCGAAAGTAAGATATCAAGTGAAAATTGCGAATACGTTATTACATAAAAATCTGAAAAAGGGCAGAAGCGAGTGCTGCGTTACTTTGTAAGTCAAATAATTGTTCAATCTCGCAACTAATCACCAGCGCCGGGCTCTTATCGACCTCCTCCAATTACTCGAAGAGTCGTACATTCCGAGAGAGCTCCACTTACACGTTCTTCTTTTTAATTGCGAGACCGTTCACGAGCTAGATCTGATTGCGCCCGAAATCGTCTTTCAGCCGAACGCGTCTTCACCATCCAAGACCGGGACTTTGCAAACTCGCAGTGTAACGGCATCGCAACTGGCGACCGACTCTCCGGCGAAGATGAACGGCCATTACCATGATTCTCCAGGTATATCTGATCGTATCATCCGTAGATCGCGGTTCTCTCGGGGAATAAACGAGCGATATAATATCATGGATTATATACATCGGGGTTCTTGAATTCGGGGCTGTACTAATAACGCATTCGGTCGGATCGTATAATGACTGTCATACATATTCATTGTAACACGTACAACCGGATGTTGAACGCCTTTCTGGTGGTGCTACACTAACCGCATATTAATACAGCGGGGACTCAGTGAAACCTCGGTCGGACGGGTCGATCCGCAATTTCCGCGTTTCAAATCAATTGTAACGCGCACGTCGACTTCGTCGTCCTCGAGATGCGTAGCGACGAATCAAACTCGGTTGATCGCTCGTCACCCGTGTGTCACGAGGAGTCCTTACCGTATTACCCGTGTACGCATATATATACTTAATTACACGCAAACTGGAAGTTAGATGAGCTTATCGCTGTTGGGTATATATGGACATAGGTGGTGGAGGCTCAAGCGAGGGCAGAGTGAGCAGTTTAGAGAGGCCACCACCGCCGCCGCATTCTCACAGTGTCGCCCACAATGTGGGCAATCTCTTGCACATGGCAGGTTCGTTCTCAAATCTATACCGTGAATTTCAATATCGTGTGTCAATTATCGTAGCATAATTCGAGATTCTCATGGCCCCGACCTCTGTAATGCACGTGTCACTTCTCCGCTTGTGAAATAACGAAATAACATTGCTTTCCTGTTTTTCACGCTACAGGATGGATGTAAGGTGAGACCACTATGCTTCTCTCTCTCTCTCTCTCTCCCTCTAGGTGCTTCTAAAATTCGTCGGAACACTTTATCGTCCGACGTTGTCGTTATCGTCGACGACTCGACGATTACGCGAATTGAATGAACGCCGGAATCTACGTCTCTCTCTCTCTCTCTCTCTCTCTGTCGTGTATGGCCGTGTCCCTCTTACGTCGATTCGTCCCATGCTTCCCTCCTCTTACCGTCGTGCACGTCCGAATGTGTGCATGTTTCGATTGTCTGATACGATATCAAGTTGTCGACTAACTATAACAGAGCGCGAGTAAACCGGAGTGATTCGGCGAGAAGGCAGACGGAGGTGGTAAAATACCTTCTCTCTTGATTTCAGGCGACTTAGGCAAAGCTGTGGGCGAATTGGTGACGGTCATGACGGAGGACACATCGAAGACGAATGGACAACGAGCACCACCACCTGCTTTCAAATAACGATCGCGACGACATCAGCAACAACCGACGTCATCGACGACGAGCGATGTCGGCAAGTCTCGAGGTAGACCCGAGCTTGCGCTACAACCCGAATACACGTTGTGAAAAACATTAATCGTAATCATCGACCAATAACAAGTCTGGCTCTAACGCATATCAGAGACAAGTACATGGTATATCTGCCGCGCAAATGCAGGGTCAGGGGACCCGTCCCACTGGTGGTTTTGGGTATTTTATAAGTTTTGATATACGTCATTGTATAGCTGAATTATATCGAATAAGACGATTATGGTTTGGCTTTACGGCGGTCCCCTGAGAGTAACTTTACTACATATTGACACGTCATATCATGAAATTAATCGTAATGAGAAATCAATTGTTATGCTTGCTAGCTAAACTATACGAACAGATTAAAGATTAAAAAAAAAAGATAAATAAATAAATAAAAGATATAATGAGTATAAAGGATACACACGGAAGGAAAAAAAAAAAATATCATCATTAACAATGCATGCAAAAGCAATGTATCAAATCACATAATCTATATAGGTCGTAGCTTATATTTACATACCCATTCTGTTCACTGCCACGGGCTCTTCCTCGACGTAACTTACACAATGTACATGTTTGCGACTCTAGACGACACATAACGGGAAATAGAACAGAAATAAATCCACACCCGACCATTCTGTATCTCCCATCCCTCTTCCCGCCCCTTCCTCTGGCGCTCTTGGAGCTCACATCAATAAACACGGAACCTTTTATAATCGATGATGATAAAGCAGAACGACGCGCATTACAACTTTCAAGTTTATTTTTTACCCAGTTACGTGATTTTTCATATTTTCTAAATGAATTTAAAAAAACGGCAATGTCTATTATTTAAGCCTGCCGAATGTTACTATATCTAAGAGTATATGAATAAGTACCTAACTAACAAACTTGTAGGCTGTATTCTGATATGTAATAAAGTTGTCTAGAAAATATTTGAGCGCGATATTATTGACATGCGAGCTGCTCACTGTGGTTCTGTTATTCAGTGATTGGTCTGCACACACACACACACACACACACACACACATGTATACACATCCATACATAATCAGCCATCTCAAACGGATAATTTTTATATTCTAAATGCGAAGTATACACGCACACACAGACACACACGCGCACATATATATACATATACATTTCTTTACGCATATCACAGATGCCATAAGTTGATAATGATGCTATTGTGTCAGTTCTGATGAGGATGCCGCTTGCGAAATGTAAAATATACATATCTTCGCGAAAGGAGAAAAGTGAGAAAAGAAAGAAAGAAATATCATATTTTACCAACTTGACGAGCATCGTGTACGAGCACCACGAATTGTTATTCGCCGTCGTTAAGTCACGAGAAGATTAATTTCACCGGACAGAGTATAAAACGATTGAATACGTTTCCAAGCTCCAGTCTGTAGTTTGTTGAACGATTGTTGGTTTTGCGATTTCATACATTAATATAACTCATTAAAGTCTAGAGATATTAGTCATATAAAAAGTTATATACTGCGTAAAACATCAAACAGGTAACTACGTTGCTTGTAATATATTGTAATATGACTGAAATGATATGGGACAAAATGCTTAAATAAAAATAATACGATATATATGAATTCTCTCCTCTGCTTGTGAATGTTCTTCTCTTTTTCAGCCGTGTGTGTGTATATACGCGCCGTGTGATTAAGCACGACTTTCTCGTCGGCGTTCGCGATAAGCCGAGATAAATCACCATTCGCGAAATTTCACGCGGCTGTTGGTCGATTGAAAAGTCAGATGAAACATTAAAAGGGCACATCCCTCAGTCAGCAGGCAAGCCGCCTCGCATCGGTTTACAGCTGCTCATCATTTATTCGCTCCTTCCTTCCTGCCCGTCTATGCCCTGCGATACAGCCGAGAAGAAGTCATGCTGTTAAATATATTTCTCGCCTAGGAAGCTACCACCTGCGCTTTGGGGAGGGGGGAGGGGGAGACCTGGCACGTGCCTTCTTTGTTTAATATAAGGGTCGATGTGTGGCGCCAACCTTTCTGAAAAGCCACGCTACATCGCCAGAACACCCGTTGCGCCGTAGCAGATGTTCCAAATGTTATATTTACGAGATTCGAAGGAATGTCCGGAAACATATGGAGTATCAAATAAGACGATCTCGATTACGGCACACGACGTCATGAGTTTCTCGTTTTCGTTATTATACAGTTTTTCTTACGGTATTGTTCCACATGTGGTGGGAGAACTAATTTGACCATTACAGAATTATCTCACTGTTTTTCGCTGATTTATCGAACTTTATTTTATTACAGCGTCTTATATATAAATCCTTAAATATATCACGCATGAATGAAATTTCCAAAACTGAGTTTCTCTCTCTCTCTCTCTCTCTCTCTCTCTCTCTCTCTTTTGTCGCGGAGGAGGATACGTGGAATATAAAATAAAGGAAGTATTCTTCTCGATACGTTTATATCTTTCATAACTCCTTATTCAGCATTTGCGCTGAAAGCTTATTGTTTCAATAAGGGAAACTATGTGTGCTGAATATGGGTCGACATTAAATCTAAATTCTCGGTCAGAGCATCCCTACGGCGCACAAGGACGTTGCCTGAACTGGTCTTCACTCGATCCGGTTTTAATCATCCTTCGAAGGAAATCGTAAGTGAACCGGTAAGCAAAAAACGCACGATAAACTGGTCTTGACTCTGTTCCGAATGCGTAACAGTTTTATTCACGGAATCATTTAGCACACGCACAAAAATGCAGTCCACGTTTTCATTCCAGTCTTATACACATTGCGCTTTAATAACATATTTCTAACATAATATAAAATAAATTAAATTACTTTTCGCGCAACGTATCCCTATGTTATATGCGATAAGTATAATTTCCATATTAATATATAAAAAAAATATTATTTTATTATAGTATTATTTTATCTTTATATAAAGAATAAATCTCTAAAAATATAAATTTTAAAATATTATTTTATATTTTAATGTTCACATTTTTATATAGGCTAGTATTCTATTAATGTATTATTTTGCAGAGTTGGGTAAGTTAATTTTTATTTTTAATTAAGTTGAAAGTTAATGGCTTATAAAATTAACATAGTCAAGTTAAAAATTGCCTAAACAAAAACTAACTTAATTAAANATTAAGTTAACTTATTAAAGTTTAAAGTTAATTATGCCAAACTATGTGTATATATATAAATGTGTGGGTATATTTTATTTTGTATAAATAATCTTTCCATTGTAAATCAAATTTATGTGAAATAATAAAAAAAATAGTCTATTATAGGAAAAGATCGATTGTTGATTATGTTCAGGATTCCATACAAAAAAAAGAGCAGTTGCGTTTAGAGAGAAAGAGATGAAAAAGAAATTCTGCTGACGTTATTTTTTTATTTTTCTTCTTTTCTATCGTAAGCAACTCGGACTAATGATTTTAATAATACAATATTATAATAAATTATTTTAATTATACTAAAAGAAGTTAATAAGTTAAAATTAATGCATTTTAAGCAACTAGTTTAAGTTAAAAGATTTAAAATTAACTAAGGTAGGTTAAACGTTAATAACTCTTTAACTTTGTAACTTAACTTTTACCTGATCAACTAGTTATTATTCGACTCTACCATTTTGAAAGTTAATATACATCAATTTATCGAAACTAATTAATATCGTTAACAAATTTTCAGAAAAAAATAGCATTCTGAACAGCATGACATTTTCGCGCGCAGTATACATAATGTTTCAAAGATAGCAAGATGAATGTCAACGTGTCTGAAACCACGTGCATTCTGCTGGTTCAAATTTCACTAATGTCGTCAACGGTTTAACAGCGGGATCGCGCGGGAGAACTTAGAAAATTTACGCTTACATAACTTACCGATGAGAAGGCAGCGCCTGGTAAGGTGAATTCAATCAATTTTACTGAATACGTTGTTAGTGCGCCTAGGATCGTCTAAGTTCGACATTATCGTCAGATGTGCGAAAGCACATAATTAACACGGGGAACGTTCGCGCGCGCATAGCGCATGGGACGTCTTGCCAATTTGCTTTCGCCGCAGGTCGGTCTTTCGATACATTTCTAATTTTATCGCGCCTCATGAATAAAAAATGTACACCCGGCGCATTCGACGCGCCGTCGAGGATATCGTTTCGTTCGCACCGTTGAATTCGATTCAACCGCGAATACCAACGCGGGAAGAGCATGCCGGGCGGGCCTTTGCCCTTAACGCTTCTTTGCGCGCGACTGTACTCGCGCGAGTCGCGTGAGTACGCGCGCGGTATGCGTGTAGGTGCTGCTCATACGCGAATGCGAGAAGTACCCTCGAAGAATACTCACCACTTACGTACGTATGTGACCACGACCTTGGTGCACGGCACCACCGCGCATTGTCTCACGCAACAGCGCAATGCGCACGGCGGGTCGAGTGCACGTGTGGTCTCTCAGTTATTCGAGAAATCGCGTACCGACGTCGTGAAAGCGCGAATTCGGTTCGCTTCGATCGGTTGATTGATTTCTTGTTTTCTTCTCCTTCGTTACGAACGTGCGAACAAGTCGCGAAGGACGTGTGTGCGCGCCTCATCTTCGGCGGCAAAATTAACGTCCCGCCGAAGAGGCGTCTCGGGGGGGGATACGCACGCCCGTTAAGTTTTCCAATACTGGCGATTGAGTCATCGATACGTGACACACGTACCGATGTGCGTAAACAGAAATTTAGCGCACGCCGCTGAAGGCCGAGCGGCATCGATTTCAAATACGGCACACGTTTATCGAGTACCGAGCCGAACGTCCAACGATAATAATTACGCTCGCATAACCAACGTCCCGGACGTAACGCGCGAGAAGGTAACGATGTAACCCACTCGTCCTCGTGTGGATCCGAAGAAGCGATACCGCGCACATTCGTTCGCGAAAATTCGTTGATTTCGTCTTGCGCACGGAAAATTGAAATTAACTTGTCCATACACGGTAAAATATCTTGTGTTGAAAACGGCCCACCGACATCTTTGTGTCACTTTAACACGGGGAATATGCTAAAAAGCATATTAAAAAGCATACAAATGTTAAATTAATACACTCACCTCGCTGACGTATTACTTTGTAACATATCCACCTTGTTAAAGTAACGCAAAAATTTCGGGTACCATTTATGAAAATTTTTCACTGTGTATAAATCAACTGACGTTTAGTTTTAACTGGAAACTACAGAGACTACAGAGACTACAGAGACAAAAAGAATTATCCAAATTAATTAAATTTCAGCTGTATTATGCGGACAGTAATTGTTACCTATGGGAGCTAGTTTTTATCTATAGAACTAGTTTTTACCTATGGGAACTAGTTTTTTAGTCGTGGGAGTTATTTATTTATTTATTTTTCTCGTGAGAGAATGTACATATTTTACGAAATTGCGGAAGATTTGTGTAAAAACGTGGAGAACTTTTTTCATCGATCCGCGTAGTTAAAATGCAATATTCGTGCAGTGTTGGTGTTTCTCTTGTTTCGCGCGCAGACAGCGATTAAACCGAAAATGCGTGCATCGAGCAAAAGATGCAAACGTGGGGATATACAATATCGAAAAGCGAGCACAGATTTCTTTGCTTTGCTTTACCGCGTATAAGGGGGAAGTTGTTATTAAGTAAATTCCTCGCATTCCTTTCTCGGTACAGTGCTGCTTTTCTCACGGAGCACTGAACGTCCTTAGAAGGCGATAGAAATATAAATAAACCAGAACACGGTCGTAAAACGCGCTAAACTTTCAGCAAATGCAACGGGCGCTCTTTGAAAAAAAAAAATGAAAATGACGAGCGCGTTTCGATATATTGCCGGATTTTGCGAAGATCCGAATGAAATGTTAATTGCAATTTCCTAATTCGGTGGTTCGGAGGTTCGAGACGATAAAAATATAGTATAATTATATCCACTATTATATCTAATATTATATTGAAAAAAATGTGCTTCAAATAATGTTTATTCGATTCAAGTGAAATGTTTGGCAAATATTTACTAGCAGTGAAAAAATAATTGACTATATACAATATGATATTTTCTTCGTATAAGTAGACATTTACTTGTATGTGTTAAAACAATTGCGACAAGTATCAAATTCATAATATTGAGAATATCGGAATTTATTTTTAGAACGTTTAAAATTAAATAATTTAAAACCACTAGATTTCTTCAATGAAAAAGAAGTATTAAATAATTCTTGTAAATACTTTCTCAAATTTCGAACCATTTTACACTTACATTCAGCGATTCATTTACAAACTAAGTATTACTGCGTTCAAGTATTTTCTATTAAAATGTGCTATTAAAGCTATTAAAATATGCTTATATTGATGAAAATATATTACTTAATTTATAGAGCTATTTAAGGAGCCGAAAACAGGTAATTATGTTTACTTGATTCTAATACTTTTTCCGTATAATATTAAAGATACCTTTTCAAATATAGTTATATCTGTATATTAATATTACAGATAATTTTTATGCAGATTATTGTAATGTTAATGTTGATGTCTTTAATATTAAATTGGCAAAATTTCTAAAAGCACAGTTTTTTACCGTTAATGCTGTACACGCTTGTACTTCCCGCGGATTATATAATTCATTCACGCGCTTATTCTTCCATGTTTGCGTGATTCCTTATCGTCGTTTGAATTTACATAAACGACGGCATACCCGCACTTCATTTCCTCGTCTACCACATGCACACACACACAGTGATGGAGGAACGCGTATCATAAATTCGGGCACAAAGGCACGCTTAAACGTGTGATTTTCAATGCGACTTCTTTTTTAACTTTGTCGCCAGTGTTAAAACCATCGTAACTTCGAAGCCGCAACTTTTACGCGTGCTCGCGCGTCATTTTACGCGCCCTTCCGATGTACGACAGCGACAGTTCTTCCGAATCTCACCACGGCGATTTTTTATCACCCTATATATGTGTGAGCTCACATGCCCCGGCGTGATACCAGTCTCGTTTCCAGAACGAGTTCCCGTCGCACGCAGCGAACAATGAGGACCGGCCGGGTGAAGGCATACGGAGAAACCTATAGCCTATATCCATCGAAGGTTCCATGACCCAAGGGGTACCTTTTTTGTTCCATGTAGGAAGACCGCACCGAGGCCTCGGAGAAGGTCGTCCGTTCCTCGGCGATCGCATTCGAAGTCGGAGGACACGTTCGAGGAGTGCGCGCGCGAATTCCAGCGAAATCGAAACTCACAAAACGTCGACGCCATCTTAACTTAATCTCTTATATTCGGGATTAAAGAGACTCGGCCTCAGATGCGAAGCTCGAAAGCGATTCCAAGTTTAAGCACTCCCCTAAATTATAAACTTAACTTACTTAGTTACTTAGAGAAGAAGAATAGCAGGAGCAAGAGCTATTTTATTCGAGCTCCTTTAAAAGATGCGGAAGAATCTTCCTTGAGATTAACCGAGTGCTCGAAATCTTAACTTCGACCGCCGGTATTTTTGAATTGATGAATCGTGCGACGCCCGCGAAATTGTATATACGGCGGGATAATTAACGTCCATCACAATTCCCGAGTCGAAATTTTGACTGTATATTAAACTTTTAATTCTCTACAACACACAGCAGGAGCTCAGATAGCAAAGCAAATTCAATTCTAATGACATTCGAGGATAAGTAAATAATTATCCGTACTTTATTTATAAAACTGATTTCATAATAAATTTTATAAGTTTTATAATAAATTTATCTTATGATAAATTCTTATGAACAGTAGAAAATGTATAAAACTTATTAAAAAATTATAAAACTGTTTAACTAGAAAAATTATGAAACTATTAAACTAGTAATTAATTATATTTTTAACGCATTTTACTTTTTAGCATAGTTTCTTTTTTTCAATGCATTTAGTCCAACATATCATACATTTCTTTATTCCTTCGAAAATGTCCTGCTAATCTAGACAAATTTATTATGCAAGTATGGATAATTGTCAACTTACCCCTGTAATTTATTTCAATTTCGTTTTCGATGATGTCTTAAATTTCCGTTTTCGCTGATCTTAGCGTCGAAATAGATCGTTTTGAATATTTATTATTCAATTATAAACTTAATAATTATGAACTTAATCGAAATATCGAAACTACTTATAGCTTCATGTTAGCGTTATAATTAAATCTATAAAATCAAAGATTCAACAAATATTGAGATTAACAAAAGTAGAGTATCGTTAAAGTTGTTAGTCTAGTCTACAAGCCACCCAAGTGGACGCAAACGATCTTTAAGAGTGTCGAAATAGCATAGAAATTTCGACTTGGGATGGCTTTGAAAAAACGGTTATGAATTTCCGTACGGCCGAGAATGTCGATATGACGACGTCATCTCCGGCTTAGCCGGGAAGAACGAAGCACGTGCGAAACAAGATTCGAATTTCAGGTTAGATGCAGCCTAAAATTCCTTCACTATTCCGGACATTGTTTTTTTTTGTCATGTGAAATATTCATCAGTTTGAATCACATAACTCGTGATGTGAGAAAGAAATCCTCTCTCGTCATTTTAAAATAATTATTCGACAAGAAGCAAAAATGTAAAGTACGTTACCGGACGTCGAGCAAAATGCCCAAAACTTTTCTTAACGCAGTTAGGAAACACATGTTACATCGCGTCGTTTCACGTTTAAAAATCTACACATTTTGACCGCATATCTTCGCACTTTTCGTGCTAAAACGAAAACGGTTGATGTAATATTCTTAAGCAATTCACAGCTGAAAGAAAAAAAGGAACAAGTGCGCAGAAGAGAACCCACGAGAACTGGAGTTGGTGAAATTCACGTCTGTTTCGGTCGCGCATCTTTCCGCTTTTCGTCCTAAAACGGAAATAGTTCATGTCTTTTCTCAAGTCCACCTATTGTAGATCCGGATTTAAAAGAAACAACTGTTACACTGAAAAAAAAGTGCCAGGATCAGGTAAATGTAATTATCTGTTTTTCAGCCTTTTAAATCAAGTATTATTTTTCTCAATTTAAATATATTCTAATAGTTTGCAGTAACCCAAGTAGCATAAGTTGGTTGGCTAATCATTGTCCAACATTGGCGACAGTTAGCCAACCAATTTGTGATGCTCGGGAAATAGTTACTTGAACGCAGTAATATCTTAATTTGCAAACGAATGACTGAATATAAGTGCAACATGGTTCTATAATTAAGAAAATAGAATGATGCAATACTTCTTTTCCACTGAAGAAGCCTAATGGTTTTAAATTTCGATTCTTCCCTCTCCGTCCGGTAAGTATTTTCAACAAATAAATTCTGATACTCCCAATATCACGATTTTAACACTTGTAATTGTCTTAACACACACGTAAGTATCTACTCACACGGAAGGAAATATCATATCGTACATAATCAATTATACTTCTACTTCTAGTGAATATTATGGAATAATTACCAAGCAATATATTGGAGTAGCCATTTCATTCGGAAGTCGAGTAAATATTACTTCGACGCCATCGCTTCGTTTTTTCGGTGTGCCATGACTATATTGCGGACCCAGCCCGAACGTTCACAGTCAAAGAGGAGAGAAAGAGGCGAGAGTGAGTGTGCTGAAGAGAGACAACTGCGAGAGCCGGAGCCGTTGGCGCGAGATTCACGAGAGCATCTCGCGGCGGCTCTCTCTCTCTCTCTCTTTCGCGGACGACCTTCTCTCCTCGCCGTGTCTCCGGGGGCTCCGGTCGCCGTCTGACGTCATCTCCGGAGCGGTCTGGAGAACGGAGGTCACGTGCTCGCCGCCAGACGAAAGCTCGATACTCGTGTGCGGCCAATAGGCGCGTCGCGGGAACCCGACGGAGCGTGTTGTCGCCGGCTGGTCGCCGCGGCTCCCTTTCAGTTGAGTCGCGTCCGTCGGAGTGCGAGCTTCGTCTTGTCACGGCCTGCTGAGACCCCGCGGATTCCCGCCGTTCGAACCCGCGCCTCCGTGTCACTCCGTGCGAAACGCAGCCGGAAGCGAGGAGACAATGGCCTGCAACCGAGCCACCAAGTCCGGATTCGCCGCCGAGGCGCAGAGAAAGGTGAGAGGTGACCGCGCGCCGATCAGCCGCGTTTTCTCTCCCGTGCTCGTTAGCACTCCTGCCACCCTGACCTAGTCAACAGAGCCACCCCCAGCCCCGGGCTACGTGGACTCGACCTACTGAGGAGGGTGCATTTCCGCGCAGGCCCGGCTCGAATCCGTGGCACCGATGTTATCTGGCCGGACTGACAAGGTCAGGCTGAATGTGACGTGAGGATATTTTTCAATCCGCCACGCCGATTGCCGGTGGAAAGTCGCCGATGCATACTCGATTAGAGACCGCGAAGTTGATGATCGGTGATTGTTGTTGCGCGTTATGACAAAGAGAGCGAGAGGGGCCGGGGGGTGGGTCGATCGGGGTGAACGTGGCATTGGAATATTTTTCAACTGCGCGACGTTAATTGTTGTCGTTGGAAAGTCGTTGAAGGTGATGACCGCGTCCTCGATTGGAGATCACGGAGTTGATAATCGGTGATTATTATTATTATTATTATTATACGTTATGGGAAAGTAAAAAATTCGAGGTGGATATCAATCGAGATGAATATGACGCGGGATATTTTTCAATTGCGCGACGTTAGTTGAAATTGGAAAATCGTCGAAGGTGGATCATTGATTGTCCTCGATTAAAAACCGCGAAGTTGATAATCGGAGATTATCGCTACGCGTTATAGGAAAGTAAAGAGGGAGGGGTGGATCAGATTCGGAGTAAATGCGACGTTGGAATATTTGTCAATCTCACGCCACGTTGATTGTCGTTGGAAAATCGTCAAAGGTTACAACCGCATCCTCATTATAAAATTAACAATTAGTGACTATTATTGTGCACTATCGGAAGGCGAAAGGTGAGAGGTGGGTCGAACGAGGGCGTAATTTCCGACTGCACAAAGCTAATCGTCATTATGGAACCGTTAAAGGTAATGTTTACGTGTTTGATGAGGATCACGATGTCGATATTCGACGGCTGTCGATCGCACCATCGGGGAGTATCGCGACGTGTCACGTCGATCCAGTGCTTTTGATTGATCCTCCCGCGGAAATCCAGGATACGTTGGCGCGCAACAGGACGTTCGGTGGGACGGGGAAGTCGCGGGACCGTTCGTCGGAATGACCGTCGGAGTCATCGTTCGCATCGATCGCTTGCTAATGCAATAAGCCTCGTCTCGTTAAATTGATGTCAATTAAATGTATCGATAATTTGAATTGTGTCGTCGTTCGTGGCTCGAGGCAACGTAGCGACAACAGCCGCTCTCGTTTCCGACCGTTGTTGCAATTGGTTATTGCGAGAGAAATCACCGGCGGCTCGCGCATTGCGCGGCACAAGTGTTACGGTAAATACCGAAGCGGACCTTCGCCGCTCTGTATCCTTGTATCCGCGCGCAGTTCATGTTTATCATCATTTCTGCGCCGATAAACATAAAGGATCGCGAGAGGAAACGCGAGCGTAACAAAATAACAAGAGGTCGAACATTTATCAAACATTTGGGCTTTTCAAGGATTGTTCTGCGATTTCCCAACGATTTTTGCCCGACGATCCACAAGCATGTTGCGATTTTGTGGGAAAAATATGTTTTTCATTGTTTCATTTGTTTTTGTAAAAATTCACTCATAGACGAGAGAAAAGGAAAACGTGCGTGAAATATGTTCGAAGCGTCGCCGTCGCTTTCGCGAAAATATTGTTATTTTAATCCGTGAAACATTGGGAACGGACTTTCGGGGAGAATCATCGATTGGCTATGCATATTCCGTCTTGTGCGCATACCTGAATGAACGTGGGGAAAAAGTGCCGTTAATTATTCAACACTCTGGAATTATAATAAGCAAGAGCGCGGCGGAATTGAATTCGCTCTCGCGCCGTGTTTAAAGGTCGAAATTACAGACTGTGAACCGACATGTAGATAATCGCGATAAGTAATCGCATGCGATCTCGCGATAAACAAGCACCTCGCACGAATGTAATCAAGATGAAAGATAAGGGAAGTAGGACGCGGCGAAAATTTCGTTTTATTTGAACGCAACGCCCGTTTCGCTCGGTGTGCTCGCTCGGCGTCTCGATATTTCCCCGTTGAGGAAAACCGGACCGCGTCGTTCCAAATTAATTAAAACTGGACGTTCCGAGACACTCGGTGCGTGCCTCGCAGAGCGGCCAGCCGATCCTTGTCTTGATTATTTAAATTAAATTTATGAAATTAAATAAAATTATATGAAATTAAATTTATCGCGAAATCCGTCAGATTCTATACAGGGTGAGGCATTAATTATTACCACCTTCAATATCTTCAAAATATAAGAGAAGGGGGGAAAAATTCGTTTAACAGAAACTGCATTGACGCCAAAATGGTCGGCACACGTAAATTTTTTTCATCTTTCATCTATAGACCATCTAATCTATATCTAATCTATATCTAGACTATCTAATCTATATCTAATAATAGACTATCTAATCTATATATTAATAAAATATTTTTGTTTATCGAAGACACACAGTATATACAATAAAAAAATTTTGTGTTTAACATATTTCACATCCTCCAAACGATTCATATAAATTTTTGTGCTAATTTAATACAGCATGAACATGTTGAAAAGTAACGTAAAATTATATTAAAAATTAACACAAAATTAATATCCACGTAGTATGTTAATCGACGCTAAATTCATAAAAAATGTTATTTTAACACACTTACACACGTTGAATATCGACTCGGCACAAAATATCGAGATAACATAAGCACGGTATGTAGATTGACATATAGTATGGTAAAAATTTTACATAAAAATTTGAATAAGGACCGATTTTAACACAAGTTCAAAATATTTTTTTACTGTGTATACAAGATGGTAATGATTAAAGTAATCGTCGAAAAGAATTTTTCAACACGGGCACACATTCCCGAAAGGCGCGCTCATCGCTCATCGCCGCGTCAGTTTCCCTTCCTTACCTCAGGTATCCTGGGGAGTACGGGATCGTCGGTCCGGGCAATACGCGCGTTTGGTTCCGTAAGCGGCAACAGCTGCTAGACGTTCGTTTCCTTCGAGGGGAATTAAAATGAGATCCAGTTGCCGAAGAAGGGAGCGTCCCTCGCTGAACCCGCTGGCCATGGTACACTTCTTCTTCGGTTGTTCGCACTCTTCAGCTCCCCGGTGTACCTTCTCAAGCGTTTCTCCACCGCGGTGGCGGCGCGAAATTGCGCTATCCTGCCCGCAACGACGGCCGATGGAGCTCTCTCGGGTCTCCCTTCGCGAGACCGCGCCGGCGTGACCAACACTCGGACTCATTTAACCCTCTGGGAGAGGCGTTGCAGAAAATTCGTATGCTAATTTTACGGTATTACTTGCATAACTGCTTCGCAACATCGCGGAATTCACTCGGGAACCGATCCTTGCGGGAAGCCGATGCGATCACATTCCGGAGGACAAAATATATTTATGCACAAGGTATTACATGATATTCTGTATAAACTTGCAAACTTGTTGCTGGTGTAAATTGAAGACGAAAACACTCTGTAAACGTGGGTCTATTTCGAACGGTTATCAATCCACGAGTGTTTAAAGTTTATATATGATAGCACAATTTTTTGGAACATTTTTTTGTTAAAAATGGGAAATAAGAAAGGAAACGTAAAGTTTACAAAAGTTGTTCAAGTCGATGTCCTTTGAAAAAAGGGAATTAACTGTGTCCATGTAATATAACTGAAATTTACTTGCTTAATCTAGTTTTCAGCCGTAGCAGCTAAAAACTAAGTGTAGAGACAGAAAAGTTAGTTAAATTTATATTATATGAAGAGCTAATTTTTATATGTAAAAGCGATTTGTTACTTATATGAGCTACTTCTTTTTGCGCAATACTGATACACAGTACGGTTTAAAATGGGTAACCGCACGAAGAACATCATGATTGTTCCTTATTCGTTCACACGCGTCATTAACAAACTGTATTAATTAAGCTCGAGTGTTATTTTCCTTTCGTATACTAAACTTTTCACTCATATTCATTTGTCTCTTTTCCTTTCTTTATTTGTCATTTTTAATAAAAAGTGCCCCAAAAATTGCGCTATTATTTATAAACCTGTGAAACTTACAGCTGAATAATCGTTTCGAATAGAACATATATTTCCGTTTTCTATTTACATCAGAAACATGCTCCTTAAGTTTGCACAATGTATTATGTAACACTCTGTGTATGTTGGATATTTTCCTTGCGAAGAAATTAGCAGTTCTTTGCTCATTAGTACAAAACAATTAACGACATCGGTGATTAGCTGCCGATGCGACGAAAGCCGGCCTGTTGTTTCGACGGGACGGAAATTACCGAGGCGGAGAAAAATATTTCGCGAGTCGCTATACCGCAGTGCGCAGTCGCCACGAGGTTTGTGGACGAGCGCTCATTACGAACCAAGATATGCTTATCGTCTGCGGAATGCAGTTCTTGCCGGCTCATTATACTTCACCGGTACGAAATCATTTGTCTCAGAACGTCGCCTCGTGTACGTGTGCGTTGAGATCGACTGTGGCCGTCGCGTATTGAGAACCACGGATATAAGAGTCTCATAATGAGGAAGGAAATTTAATCTCGCTCGACACTCGCGTCGTGTCCCCCTGGTCGGAATTTTTTCCGAGTTTTCTTCGCGTGTGCATATTTTTAACGCTTATTACGGAGATAAACACGCATAATGCGCGCTCGTGAAATTTTACCGATAAAAAATTCGTTAAAACCCTATTCCAAAATAATACACACATGTACACGTGATGTCGCGCATGTGTAAGTGAGATATATTTTAGAGTCAAAAACGACCCATTTGAGCATGAAAAATGCACGTGATCGTGAATGTTATGTCATTAATACCTATCATCGCACTTAAGATCAGAAAGAGAATCATAACTTCGCAAAGCGCGAATGCTGATTAGCGGTGAATATATCATTACAATCGCCGGTGAATGCGCGACACCACGCGCTGTAACTACAATTTCAAGGTAGCGTCGAACACGTGTAATTACCGC